AAAAAAAAAAAAAAAAAAAAAAAAAAATGTGCTCTGAACTGAAAAGCAAATTTTCATGGATACAACAAGGAAGGTTCTCTAAACTTAACCTCTTTCTGAGTCAACTCAGTGCAATCACACACACACACACACACACTTCATTTTTCAACTAAGCTGAAATACTATAGAAGAAATGTTTAAATGTATTCAAGTTATCAGTGTCACAAGTAGAACCCATTATGATATGCTGAGGTAGGTAGCGGATAGGATTATGCATTTGTGTATGTCGTAGATTTTAAGGTGTTTGTGTTTTCTTGCCTTGCATTGCATTACGAATTAGGGGAATACAGGTACATGTAGTTATAGTTTAATTATAATTGCCCTCTTCTTACACGAGCCTTAGATTTTTAGAGCACAGGAATTTACTACCTGCGCGTTCAATCAGTGGCGATGTCTCTGTGCTGCTGGAGTGCTCTATACACTATTGAACATGGTTTTAAGAAAAACCGCATGCATGAATTGAGTGTTGATTCAACATTAATCCAAAATGACACGACGATAAATTTCAGGTGCTACAGGTACTTGGTACATAATAAGGAAACTGCCAGTTGACATTAATTAAAGTGGTTGTATTGCCTTAGACTGAATATGGGGACATCCACTTGAGACCTGTTTCACAAAAGGGTCTTTTGAGCTCTTGGTCGAAGCCTAGGTTGCTGAAATTAGTTAGCCGGCTATGCAGCCAAATGTTATGGTCCTAGTCATTCCCCACTGCAGTTCTTAGACAAAACAATTATTTAAACATGTTCTTAGACAAAACAATTATTAAAACATCAACACCGAACAACTATTGCTTTGGCCATAAGGGAATAAAAGAACCTACCTCGATTTATAAGCAGTCCCACCGGTAACTCATCTAGTGAAAGGCTATGCGATGTCATAAATAATGTAGTGGCATACCTTTATGTTGTGCATTATATATGAATGATTTTATATGACTTTTGAAGATGGCGGCGTTATCTTATGATTTGTTTTAAGAGTAAATAAATGTATCTTAATTGACAGCTAACACTGATATTGCCTACCTCCAGTATTTTCTTGTCTGTCTTGTACATCTTAGACTGGGTTCCCATAAC